ACAATAGGATGATACAAGCACATGTTATTTGGCTAGAAGTGAGAAAGAAATGACGTCTCAGCTGACCACTATAGAAAAGCCGAGTTGATGTAATAGTCTACCCTCCATTAGAACTGTTCTAAGAGAAGATCTGGTTCTCTTGTATCTCCAACAATACCAGAGGAGCACGAAGACTCCTCACCGGTTATTAAGGATCAATATTCTGACTAGATCAACGGGTCGGCCAACACCGACCAAGTTCAACTGAACGAGCATATCTCTCCAAATCGAAGCAAAATAGGCTTAATAGATTGAGACAGAAAATAGTTGGATGATAAACTCATATCCCCTTTAAAGTAGACGCAAAATTGCAATATCATTATTGTACCTTCTCCTCAATAACTAAGGGTAATATTTTATGAATAAAATACGACAGATTACTATTCATTCATCTCTGTCTCTATTTATCTTTCCTTACTTACGCTCTATTTCTTAAGCATGATTCACAAATAAATCGGAACTCAACATCCTAAAAGATGATGTGAGTGTGGATCATGCTATAAATAAGAAAAAGAGTAGCCCAAGGAGAGTAACCCCACAGCAAATACACTGACAATATAAAGTGTACGAGAGAGTTCTTGGCCCGGCAAATCAGGGAGATGAAGGATTAGAAGTTGGACGTCATTTGAGATGCACTAACCCAAAAGAGAGACTAGCGGCTCTTGGATGAAGAGACAATGTTCAACTGCAAAAGAGTCCCTACCACCTTAGAGAGGTAAGATGGCACTTAATACTTCAATAGTGTTGGGTGTTGTAAAATTTATCCTCTCGATAATGATTAGCTCATCTGTCGCAACTCTTTGAAAAGTAGAAGTTGAATCAGAAGCAGAATAAACAAAATCCACACCTTCTAAGCCTTCTGCAACCAAAACCACCTTAGTCACCAGTTGGCCCACCACTCTGATAGTTTCAGGATGATCGATCGAATGACCTTCTTCTTGGCCTCCTCAGAAACCACCATCGCCTCCCTTTCAACCTCGAGTCATCCGAGGCCTTCTAATATTCCTTAATTGTCTCTATGAAGGCGTCCAACTGTAACACCAGATTGACAATCTAGCTCAAGGTATTGGTGGATAGACAGTTGTTATCACTTGACTTTAGAGGCCTTCAATAACACTATGGTTGACAATTTTTGCTTCACTTTTATGGGGCTTGTCTAGATGAAACTGTTCAGATGTGCCATCCATGCATTAAGTAATGAAGACATAAGTGAGGTTTGTAGTATTTCATTATGTTCTCTAGTCCCAATGGTAGGAATTTGTTGACCAAAGAAAACAGGACAAACCCATTCAGGCCAACTCGAAAGGAGAACATATGAACGAAGAGGTTGACGAATCATGAGATTTCTAATTGTCGACAGTATATGACAAAAGTCGTGATGGGTGTGATAGAGTATGGCTTCCTTTGGTCTAGGATGATACCATAGTCAAAGAAGATGGAACAAAACTCTAAACATAATGGAACTTGGAAAGCAAATCGAAATTGATCTTTGTAGAACAAGAGATCATCAACATAAAAAGGAGTGCCTCGGTTGTGTTATCTGTCTACTTGAAGTTTGATTGTAGCATCGAAGACATGGGTATTTTGCAGCAGATCAATTTTGCTTCAAGACATTCAAGAATGGTTGCTCAGAGGAATCAATCTAGTGGAGAATATCAAGGAGCCATCAAAGCAAAGCACAGAACAGAAAAATGGGAAAAATAGAAAAGAAGGGAAAAGGTAGAGGAAATGTGATCTCAAGAACATCTCCCTTCATATATATATGTATATATATTTGATCTCACCATGGCGGAGGGGCTTTGGAATTTTAGGCATATGACGCGGGCTCTCAACTTGAGGCTAAAAAGCACATAGGAAATCAATATTTGGGCAACTGCCAAATATCGATTTTCTTTCAAATATATATATGTGTGTCTATATATATATATATATATACACATATATTAATTTCAAAAAGAAATCGTTATTTGGCCCAATTGGCACCAAATAACGCTTCCCCATTTGGGTCGAAACCTGGTGTGTTTTAATTGATCCAAAGGGTCTGCGCCACGGGATTCGAACCCCAGACCCGAGAGACTTACGCCGAAGGCCGCTCCAATGAGCCGAGAAGTGGAGCACGTATATATATATGGGCGTGCGCGCGCGCGCCGCAAGCCATGACCTGTTGGTCGGCAGGGTTCACTATAAGTCCCCTCAGGTCACAGGCTCGATCCCCCATGACGCGGGATTCTCGAATAGTTACGCACATGGCGCGGGCTCTCATCATGGGTCTTGATTAACCCTTTTGTTTTGTAACTCAATTGTTTTCTTAACATCTAAGGAGCAATAGATAACTCCTTTTTCTTAAATATATACATATATATATATTTCATTCTTTCTTGTTCTCCTTATATATATATATATGTATATATATATTCTTTTTTTTTAAGGAATGACCGGAGGCTATTATACGAGCCCCGAACATCCCTCATGGGGGGAATCGAACCCCATACCAAAAAGGACTTACAACTGATAAGCAGATGTCCGACCAACTGATCTGAGTACGCGACACACACACGCACACACAAATATATATATTGCTCAAGACTTAAAACTCTCAGCCAATCAAACTCGACTTGAGCTTGGAGTATTAGGGATCTTTTCCAGACATCTGATACTTTCGGATGAACACTCTACACCACTTCTTCCATCCTCTCCACATTCTCCACACGAGCCAGCAACTTGTGCATCCCCTAGCCAAGTTGGATCCTTGCTGACCTAGTGAAGAAACTCTCAATTTCATCCAAGCGGCGAGCCAAACATCCAACAATTTTTTGGGGCTCATTATTTGCTTCACTGTGTGTCTCAGAAGCATCGTATGGACAATCAACTGTGTCATCCATGCTCGAGAGCCAGTTATCCTCTCCTGACACCTAACCTGCTGTCACTAGGGCCCCTGTCGGATTCTTGTTTATGCCAAAAGAAAGCCAAATCATCATTCAGGGTTGCCAAATTTAGGTCATCTGCACCAAGAAATATCGTAAAATAATAATGTTTTATAAGTGAGGTCAAATCGCACAAATAAAACCAAAGCCACTCTTATGCAGAAGCTGATTCCACTCAAATATTGTGATCGTTGTAGCACTTTCACAAAGACACACTGGTGAAGATGGTGGGAGATACAATAAGCCATTTAAGTGACCTACCCAGCCAGAGAGTCTTGCATCACAACTGATAGTTCAACGAGCGGTTTAGATGTTAGGTCGGTCAGTTGAATGCTCTTCCACCTAGTCTTGAGTAGTGAATCAAATAACCCCTATCTGATCTGAAATAGTGAGTGCAAACACTTTCCTCTTCTTCACGACAACTTTTTTCTTCCTTTCACCTTTTGGGTTGTTCCATCTTTTCAATTATTTGAAGGCAAAACTTATTGAATATTTTTTAGGAACACCACTCAAGAGTTTCGATATGTTATTCATCACAACACACGAAAGTTAGGTAACTCAAAAAAGGAAATATGCGAAGCAAATTAGGCAAGAGGAGTCCCATCATGCCCTATTTATAAGAAACAAATGCATGAAAATCAAGGGAGTTCAATTATTGAATCATTATTTAAAATCAAATGTGATTTATTTTTGTATTAAATTCTCTTATTCTTATCATGTCTCTTTTAAGTAATAAGAGAAGCATGAAACTAAATTTGTACATAAGAAATGTGATGGGAAATCTTAAATGAATCCAATGGTCTAGAAAGAGTACGGCAAATCGACCAAGTGAAACAATATGAGTCCGGTCGACGAGCTAAAAATCGAACGGACCACAAGATGGGCAAAAGACGACATGATCATACAAGCACGAGATATTCAACCAAAACAAGACAAATCCGAGCTAACAACTAAAGGAGAGCTGACCGAATGTGATAACCTACCCTCTAACAGAATAGATCCAAGGGAAGATACGGTTCCCCCGTATCTCCAGCCATCACAAGTAATCCCAGAGGGATCTCACTAGTTGTCAAGAATCAATAGCACAGCTAGATAAGCCGATTGACCCACGCTGACCAAGCTCATCTAACCAAGTTGATCCCACCAAACCTAAGCTAAATAAGCTTAGTCAACCAAACCATAAAGCAACCGAACAATGAGCTCATATATAAAATACCAGAAATATCAAAGATGCAACAAAGTTATGATATCATCACTATACCCTATCCTCTATAAATAGAAAAAATATTTTATGAATAATACATGACAGATAATTGTTCTTTACTTTTCATTCCTCTCTCACTCTCTCTCTCCTTAGGCTCTATTCATTGGGAGTGATTCACAAACAAATCAGGATCCATCATTAAATTTTGGCTTATTTTCAAACTTTTGAGTTTTGGATTCAAATGGCAGCCCACCTTGTTGCTTGCTGGTATATAATCGTACTAATGATTGATGTTTGAAGCCAAAGCAACCTACCATCTGTACAGTTAGCTGACAAAGATGAGTTCGGTTTCTATTTATCTATGTGATTTTGTTTTTAAAGACTAAAAAAATAGAATAATTTAAGAGTAGTTGATTTCATACAAATTTCATTTAATTTTATGATGTGAAGCACATTACTTTAGTCAATTATAACAATTTAATCGAAGCCTGATTATACTTGATTCAGCTAAGCAAATTGTTAAACAGACTTATAAAATGGCGCGACACGTCTCAATTGATGATTCTTTGATTCCATATTTATAGGTTTTTTAGCTGATATAAAACAAGTTCTTTTTTAATCTAAAAAACAAACATATAATATACATATAGATATGTATATGCATATATGCATCTGCACGCACACACGCATGCCACTGACCCACTCATCATACAATTTGAGAAGAAACCTAAAAGACTTGGTGGCCTAAAGTTGCAGTCCAGCCAAACAAACTATATCATTTAGGATTCTTAGATGTGAATCATGCATTCAGAACTACATACAGGATGACAAAATAAATCAAAACACAATTTATTTCCAATAGTCAGGCTCACATTGTTCTATGTAAAATAATATGATATCTGAATGTAAACAGCATAGGAAGAACATCTGAAATGGCCTTATAAATATAACAGCTTTAAACATCACAGTTATCACAACAGGGCCCTATTAATCAATCGCGATGAAGCTCATAAAACTAAACACTAAAATCTATCAAAAATTTTGAAGACTTTTTAGGCAAAGTTATGCTCCTCCCTGCTTCCTTCCAAAGAATTTATTCGGAGGATTTGGGGTAGACTGCGCAATTGAAGTTGTTGTTGTCTTTTCACCTTCACCATTTCGAGTAACAATTCTTAGAGGATGAGCTTCTGTGTTGAAAACCCACTCATCCAAGGAGATGACAGATGGCGGTGAGAAAAGGAGATAGAGATACTTCAGAGTTTCAGCGAGAAAGAAGCTCTGCATCATGTTATCCTTAGTTCCGGTATTTACCTGAGATTACAAAAAAAAAATGATACACTACAAATGAGCCAAAAGCACTCATCTAGTATGAAAAAATTGGGGAATTTCATACATAACACCCTATTCTAAAGAATTTACATATCTAACACTTAAAGTTTACTTTTTTTGCATTTATACCAACAAAATCTTTCATGTCACATCAAAAATACATACGAATTGAGTGGAATGTATGGAAATGTTCGGAAAATATTATTCAAACTTTTGATTAGAAGATTAATTATGCAGAATAGTGTGTGAGGTACAACAGAAGGCTGGCCTGAAGAAATATTTAGAAAGTTCTCATTGTGAACTTAAATGCGCCATTTTGCTCATAAAATACTAGAAAGGAGTGTTCGAATACAATAGCATATTAAGTTGAAATAAAATCAAGAATCTAAAGCCACCGGGTTTGAGTGCACTCCCTGCCCGAAATAAATGGGGCATTTACATACAAAGCACATAGTTCTTAGGCATTTACATATCTCACGCCTAAAATTTCATATTTACATGCTTAGCACTCAAATCTTTAATAAACCATTCAAAAAAGCACTTTTATCACTTCTTAAAAGTAAAATACACATTATCAGGCATAGGTTTAAAGCACCAAGGTGCTATTATGAAAGTTTAGGTATGAGATATGTAAATACACAAGAATTGTGTGCTATGTATGTAAATTTCCCAAAGAAGGTGAAGAAGACTCGTACGTACATCCTTCAGTCCAACATAGCCAGAATCAATGCGAGAATTCTTCTCAAAAGCTTGGAAGATATTCCAACCCCATTCCTTGTATGTTTTATTCCCAGTAATGCGCCAGAGATACATTAATGATTCGATGGTTTCTGGTCTCAATATGTTCCATGAAGTTCCAACATGCATATCCTGCAGTTTTTTAAGGTGTTGAAGAAAATGTTGAATGAATATATTTCAATCTGCAACAATGGCTGCCAGTATTCACTCAGCTGACCTGTCCTTCATGGAAGAAGTAGTTTTCTCCAGCCAATTTTGTGGGAGTTGTTTGGTAGAAATTGTAACAAGTCCAAGCAAGCTGTAGAAAGATTATAGATATAATATTTTTTTACAGAGAAAGGTAAGAAGCTAAATGTACTTTATAACCTAAACCACTTAAAATTTTATAAATTCAGGGATTGACAACAAGCTTGCTCTATATGATAAACACAAATTCAAAGAAAGAAAATACAAAACGACATATAATTCAATGTTTGTATAACATAAAACATATAAAATGCATATTAATGCAAAAGATGAACACATAAAACAACTAAGATCCATGCTCAACAGGAATAAAAAAAAGATGAAACAAGCCATACCTCTTCGGCAAGTGATAAAATTTTTTTAGCATTTTCAGAGTCATAGCCAGAAGAACCTAAAGCCAACATTCCTGGAGCAAAGCATGCCAGTTCATCCATCTGCACAGATTATAGAAATAGCAAAAACTATTAGTTTACAAATATGAAAGAGTTTATAGATGCATTCAAAAGAAGTTGCATAATCTTAAAAAGATTTTACCTTGTCAGACAGATAGTCACCATTCTTCTCACAGATATAAGTGAAGGAAGATGGTTTGCTTTTACGAACCAGACTTTGCAGTCCTTTCATGGATGTCTCCCACATTTCTCTACATAAAAGTGAGAAGAAGAAAAAAAAAATGAATGTATGCTCCACTAGTTAATCCATCAATGTCTAATGTATGCAAGCTTTTCTGTCTTCTTTTGTAAGTAAATAAGGATTAACTACAGGGTTAAAAGTATCAAGTTATGATAGAATCATTGAAATCTTCAAACTAAACGGAGAGATTTACAGTAAATCTGACAATAAATTACAATTGTCACCATTTATCTCACCTGTAATGCTTTACACTCGCAGTTTTATTGCCCTGCACCCAAGCTTTAAGAAGATATTCGTAGAAGCTGCAGCACAGATTTTCACAAAATTTTGAATTCAGTAACGGTGACATGACATTAAATTGAAAGGCATTTTATGTGGGGCGGTGCATTTGGTCGGTTATGTTGGATTGGCTGACAATTAAACCCAACCAAATAACAGATAGAACAAAGGATACCAAGTAATACATTGAACACAACCAACTCAAACCGCAATAATGGTTCAATTTCTTTGATTTGGTTTTGGTTGAACCAAATTTTGAAATACTAAAAATGGATTGTGCATTTGCTCACAGTTTGAAAAAATTGGTTAAAAAAAGCTTGTTAAACTAATTGGTTGATTGATTTGACTTAATTGCATTTTTTTTTTCAAAATCAGTAACTATAATCTAAAAGAAACGAGCTTTAATCTAAGACAAAAAAATGAACCGTGATTTCTTAAACCAAACCAAACTAATGAATTTTAGGAACTGTCCTTACTTTTATTTTTATAATTGTGGCGGGATTTTATTGGAAAATCTGCAGCCAAATTACTTGCATGTATTGTAAGATGATCCAAAATTAAGCTAGCATATATACATTTGATTCAGATTGCAACTTAACTAAATTTAATACTTCTCGTAAGGAAAAGAGAGACATTAAGGAACAATGTTTAAAAACAGAATAAAGCATGGTACCTATCACCCATCGCACCAAAAGTTATTTGTGAGCGTGAAGATGTCCCAGAATGAGGACTTATGTAGATGGAAAGTAGACCGTCACTCGGAAAGGTCTTCTGAAATTGAGATATTACATTTTCTACCTACAAAGAAAACAATATGATCCAAAAACAAAAACATGAAAAAGTGAACTTCATCAACCTTGAATTAAGATAAATACTCCAGGAATTCAATACCATTCTTATGAAAGAAATTTGGAAAAGAGAGTTACCCCGCCAAAAAAAGAGAAAACCTACATCTTCACCAAAGGTGAGTATTTCTTTACATATCCCCAATACAACAATACATTCTTGCTTCACATTAAAAGCAAATGAAAAAGAATAATAATTTGAAGCCACGAGTATAGTTGTCTAAGACTAATTTCAAAATATTCAAAGGAACTCCTAACAATTAAATTTTCCAAAATTTATCATAGAACTTAATACACATAAAGAACAAAAATATTGTATCCGAATGAAAAGATTGGATAGAAAACTTAAAAAAAAAACTAAATAACAGGATTAAGTTATTAATTAAAATACTATAATTTTCATGCTAAGTGAAAATATTTTTAAAATATAGAATATAACTTTTCAAGATGTTTTATGTGCACAAATTATGAATTTGAAATATATGAAACAATCAAATACTATTAAGGAATAGATTGTGCAATTTGCCTAGTATGTTAAATTAAAATGAGAAATCTTGGCTTAGACCTTCACAAAAAATATATGAGTATATTACAAATTACAAGCGAGCTATCAAACATAGTTACAATTCTTTGAAAAAGACAGGAAAAAAAACAAAAAGCAGAAATAATACATTAAAGAACATAGGGTTCATGTAGAATACTAGCCTTTAAGCAAGCTATTATGACAAAATAAAGAAGTAAATTGTGAAAGCAATAAAAAGCAAATGTTTTCCAACATAATCAAAGCCTTGACAAGTTTAAATGCCCCCTAGACAAAACATAGAACAAAGGTAAGACCAAATAGATACACTTTGATTATTTCAGACATACCTTCTGTTGGTATTTTGGGTCTCCGGACCTCTGAGATAAAACTATGAATTCAAGTTGTTCAGTTCCAGAGTCTGCAAGGATACTATCTCCCTGTGAAAAGCAACAATGTATTTCAGTTGATGCATAAATAAAGCAGTTTAGGTTTTATTTGATTACTAAAACGTGGAGATTACAAATGCCTAAAGGCCAACGAACGTCCAAGAAATTAGAAGGGATGGAATATAAAACTGGATTCATTCTACATAACAGGACAATAGATTTTGGTAAGCTGAAATACAAAAAATTTATACATTAATATTGTAGCCCCCTAATGATGATGATGATTTGACAAATGGATTGCATTTAGAGTAAAAGATGTTGGTTCTTGAGATTTATGCCAATCTTTTACTTCGCTATAATTCTAAAATATAAAAAACAGAATATTTTATGATTTTTTCTTTCATCACAAGCATAACAAATGACCCTTCTGAAATTTAGGGCCTGTTTAGGATTAATTTTTGTTTTTAAAAACAAAAAGAAAGATACTGCTTGTTTGTCTGTTTTTCACCTGTTTTTTAAAATTTGTTTTTAAACGCAAGTGGTTTATTTGTGAACATATTTTCTGCATTTTCAAAAAAGCCAAAACACACTAGGCTTTCAATTAATAATTTAATTAACTTAATTTAATAATTACGAACTTGGTAATTATTAATTTTAAATAATAATTTAATTAAATAAATTAGTAATTATAAAACTTTAAAAATAAATCTACGTAATTCACTAAATAATTAATCAATTAAACCCATAATAATTCAAATAAAATATTAATCATTTAATTAATTAATTTAATAATTATAATTTAATTAATTAACTTAAAAATAATATACTTATTAACTATTTAATTTTTAATTAGTAGTTATGAAATTAAATTATTTAGCTTAATAATTATAAAATTTAATTAATTGACTTAATAATTATTGAATTTCAATTAATAATTAAATTAATTATCTTCATAATCAAGAAATTTAATTACTTAATAATTTTAAATTCTAATTAATTAATAATTTAATTATTAACTTAATTAATTAAACCCTTAATGATTCAAATGAAATATTAATCATTTAATTAATTAACTCAAAGATTATAATTTACTTAATTAACTTAATAATTGTATACATATTAATTATTATTTTTAATTAATTATTATAAAATTAATTAAAAAACTTGATAATTATAAATTCAATTACTTAATAATTTAATTAATAAACTTAATAATTATAAACTTATTGATTATTTAACTTCAATTAGTAATTTAATTAACATAATAATTATAAAATTTTATTAACAAATCTATTTAATTTTTTAAAACTATAATTTTTTCTTTAAAAAAATAGAAAATATCCAACCAACCATATTTTATATTTTTTAAAAATATATAAATCATAAGAGTATCAATGATGTTTTCTAGAAATGGAAAAAAAACAAAAATAGAACATTCTGAAAATAAATAAATAAAAAACAGAAATTAAAAAGTAATCCCAAACAGGACCTTTATATTCTGTTTTTATCTCTACCTGAATTGTGCAGTATGCAGTTTAATTAACCATATTCTTACTACAAGTAATATAATTGCTATAAACTTATCATAAAAATGCTATGAAATATATGTTCTTTAGCTAAGTGCAACATTCGAAATTATTCTTTATGGATGAAATATGTTATAATTTATACTATTTACTATAATTACTTCGCTGTAGTATTTTGATATAAAATGGTACTAAAGTTCATATTCTAGTTTTATCTCACCTGCTTCCCTTTCTTTTCAATTAATATCGTCCATCTTTCTCTCTCTCACTCATTTGATTCTTTCCTCTAGCCCATTTTTGGTTTATCTTAAAAAGAAGATTTGGGATAGAATAAAGATCAGTTGGGGGACATATCATGACAACCCAAAAAATAAAAGGAAGGATTTCTTAGAAGATTGAGCAAAGGGTATGTTATGACTAGAAGCCTGGAGATTTCAGGCCAAGAAATAAGGGCACAAAAGAAATGAAAAAAAAAAAAAAAAAGATTTCGGGATAACTCAAGTTTCAACTGCAATTTCGATGGTTAATATAAAAAAAGCAAAACATTTAGGCCAAATGATATACAAAGCTTCCTTACAAAATTCTACTCCCTCATGACTAATAGAATTTCCAATAACAAAAGAATACATCGCATGACTGAGTGATATCGTGTGGGAATGATAGAAGGACAAGTTGGGATGACAATTTCTCATTCATGCCAACTGAACTTAACAAGAACTTCATTCAAAACCTTTTAAAGCTCTTCCACACAACCTTTTTGAAGAATCCTTGTGCATCCTTTGAAATTTTATTTAAATTAAGAAAGGAAAATGCAGTCTTTGGCTTGGTATAAAACTCCAGTTCTTATGAATATTTATCAAATCATGGGCATTGGCCTGTCTTGATCTAATCCCACAAAATCATGAGGTATGAGGGTATTGGAAGATTTGAATCCCATTACAAATGAATTTATGATGGCAGATTTGTATATACTAACTTCTTTCTTGAAACAGTCCTTGTCGAGACAAACACCGCAAAAGCTCCACCAAAATCCCTCATTTAAATGGCCGCCTATGACTTCCAATTGTGTCGAGCCTTTTACAGTTGCTTATCCACTCAATATTGTTTTAAATAATTTCTATATAACTCAACAATAAAATAAATAAATAAGTGATAAAAATTAAAAAAAAATTTTAAAAAAAAACTTCTTAAATAACTTCATCCATATGTCAACTTCATCACTTAAAAGTATCTTGAGTTGTAAATTAACCCTGAAAATAAACCTAAAGAAATGGCATCTTCCTTATAAATGATTAGAAGGAATAATGGAACTTCGAGGAAGGTAAAACTACCATCCTAAGTCATATGCTTTTTGCACTAAAGCTTTGTTAAGGATAAATCATGTGATTGATGACTATTATCTTTATATCAATCTAAGGGGATAGAACATTGTGAACCTCTTTAGTCTTATGATACGATGTTCAGAAAGTGTATTGCCAAGAAAGTGGCTCTCGATCTATATATATATATATATATATATATATATATATATATATGAAGAGAGAGAGAGAGAGAGTTGAATACATGTAGGAGGCAGCAATTTTAGGAAAGGAAAAATATCAAGGGGCATTTACATACATAGCTCCCAGTTCTATGGATTTACCTATCTCACACCAAAACTTTAATATTTACAAGTACCTATCTCACTGAAACAGTCCTTGTCGAGACAAGCACTGCAAAAGCTCCACCAAAATCCCTCATTTAAATGGTCGCCTATCACTTCCAATTGTGTTGAGCCTTTTACAGTTGCTTGTCCACTCAATATTGTTTTAAATAATTTCTATATAACTTAACAAAAAATAAATAAATAAATAAGTGATAAAAATTAAAAAATTAAAAAAAAATTCTAAATAACTTCATCACTTCAAAAGTATTTTGAGTTGTAAATTAACCCTGAAAATAAACCTAAAGAAATGGCATCTTCCTTATAAATGATTAGAAGGAATAATGGAACTTCCAGGAAGGTAAAGCTACCATCCTAAGTCATATGCTTTTTGCACTAAAGCTTTGTTAAGGATAAATCATGTGATTGATGACTATTATCTTTATATCAATCTAAGGATAGAACATTGTGAACCTCTTTAGTCTTATGATACTATGTTCAGAAAGTGTATTGCCAAGTAAGTGAGCGCTCACAACAGAGTGAGGGAAAGGATGGATTAAATGAGAGAATATATAAAGAGAGAGAGAGAGAGAGGTGAATACATGTAGGAGGCAGTAATGTTAGGTAAGGAAAAATATCAAGGGGCATTTACATACATAGCTCCCAGTTCTTATGGATTTACCTATCTCACACCAAAACTTTAATATTTACAAGTACCATAAGAAAAATAACACACATTATCACCTTTCAATAGTCAAAATCATCTTTTCATCCATAGGTAAAGTGCTATGCATGTAAAAATGAAACTTTAGGTGTGAAACAGGAAAATTTATAAGAATTGTATGCTGGGTATGTAATTTTCCCAAATAACAAGTATCAAATTTCCTAGTAAGCAATCAAAAAACATTCTTAAAAGTGCCTTCCCAAACTTCCGCTTCCAAAATTAGGAAATACCACTTCCAAGTTCCACCCACTTTACAGAAACCAAACAGCTTCCAAGCTAGGGTACCCTTTCATTAACAAAAGATCATGCATCAAAATAAGAAAAACATTGCCAATAGAGATTGTGAAAATATGGAAGCATCTTGGTAATGATGGCATTCTTGTGGTAACTCAGCAAGTAGTACTAAGATTCATATTTCATCTATTTCTTCTGCCACAACAAAATTTTAAGTTGATTCTACAACAGCTGAAAAAAACTGTGTCCAGTGTGCACAAAAATTTGCTTCCCAAGAAGCATTTTTTCTTCATTATGTCAAGCTTAACGAAGGTCGAAGAAACTCCGATCATTTAGAGGCAATTCTAATTCTCTCTTGAAACATCTCTAACAGGGGATATAATTTTTCATCTTCCAATAGCATTCCTTGCATCAACTTCAAGTTCAAATGGCCACAACATTTTTGGGCGGTGGTGCATATTATAAAGTAGTATGTAAATTCATAATGACTTTACAACTCACACTTAGTGACTCTCTTTCCTTTTACCCTCTAGGGAGAGAAATAAAGCAACCCTAGACATGCAATTCTCTCCCATTCATGTGTGATCCAAATTTCAGGGGCCTCCACTTCGTCCTCTTCATTATTAGGAGTAGCAACTTAACTCCTTTTCTATCATTTTTCTTCTACTCCTACAATTGTTTCCATCTTCTTTCGTGCTCTAATGTAACTTTTTTTAAATAACACTACACATAATGTGCATTTATGATATTGTGCTTTTCATTTTATAATTACGTGTAGGCATGAATGAATTTTCTAAATTGTATATATAAATGATGATGTAAATTTTGCTAAATAGATACTCAACACATGCATCCGCCCCATTGCTTTGGATCATCACAAAACGACAAACCGCAAAGGTATTTTCTTTGACTGACGAAACCAGTGAGCATCCGTGTCTTGTCATATAAGAGGAAGTAGAATGTCTTTCTCAAATCCGCTGTCAAAGCAAAACGTAGGTCTTCCCCTGAACTCACAGTTTGTCCAAAAAAGTGAAGTTGCTTTATTTTTGCAGCTCAAAGACCGTGTTATCTTCTCTGCTAGACAACAGATTAAGAACTTTTCAAAGTACATTATCACTAAGTTATTGAGGTAGAGTTGCACTAGATAATCCATCATCCACATAAATTCAGCAAAGATTTTCCAAGATTATGAATTGAATGCCGATTCAATCAAACAAACCTATCCTTATCTTAAAGGTTTTCATAAATGATTCTTCAAATTTAGTGGTAGCTCACATTCAAGTAAAAAAAAATGGGCATTTGCATACAAACCACCTAGTTCTTATTTATTTACATATCTAACACCTAAACTTTAATTTTTACATTTATACAGCCAAATCTTTCATGTCAAAGAGGTTTAAGTAGAAAACAAGGACAACATAAAGGACCTTATGTGGAACTTCAAGGCTGCTCCAAAAAACTTCATCTGAACCTTTGATTGTCAACGCCAAAGCACATCAAATTTCTCAAGCCTATAAAACAGATTCAACTCTGAAGGACATCAGCGTTTTCAAGCCTGCCAAACAGGTAGGCAACTTAACTCTTACCCACCTGCCTTAAAAATACTGTAGGCTCCCTTATAAAGTTTTCAGTTCTACTTTGTCCAAATAGTGTATGCCAATAGTTAGATTCAGGATGAATCAAATTGAAGATAAAAAAACAACGCATTCCATTTTTTTACCAGCTTTGATGAAATCAAAGAGAATATATCTCATCATGAGGATGAATTAGTCAAAAACTACATTTTTGACAGAGAATCTGCCAAGACACTTAATTTTTGCCCAGAAAGTCTTATTTATTAATTGGCTCTAAACACAAAATGTGAAAAAGAATATCTTTCTGAAAACAAAAAATAAACTGTGGTTTCAAAATCCTTGTTTGCACTTTTGTTTCTGTCTGCATGTATCCCTTGCTAAAGGGTGTTTCTTTTCTAGTAACATTATTCTTTTTAAGTATACCTAGCTTGCATGAGAAAAGTTGAGAGTTGATTTTTTTTTTTTGACTCATATTTGGTCGAGACACAAATGTAAAACTATGTAAAAAATTGATAAAAAAATGAACCCAAAGATAATGAAATCTTGCATGCACTTTCAACTAAGAGATGATTACAATGGAAGAATGAAACACTACAAAAAATTAAGCATTGTAAGGACAGATTCATACAGAGTGGACATAAAAGAAATGAATTTATGTAAGATTAAAAATGAAAAGGTAGAAAAGAGAAATAATTACGCAACAAATTCAGGCCTTAGAAGAACAGAAAAAAATAGAAGAAAGAAAAAAGAATTGAGGAACCTTGTAAGGCAGGAAAAATCACAAAGTGAAGGTCACAAAAAAAGGTCTAATCTCAGCTAACTGAGTCATTCAGACAACCATTACAGGTAAAAACTCCAACTATTCATAGAAAAAGGCTATAAGATAAATTCAGTTTTCAATATATATTCATCTAAAGCGCCCTAAATTTATCTAAAAGGATAATCAAACAAACACATTAAACCTAACAAATCAAATCCTAGTTTAAATGAAAACAAATTCTAACATATTGAATGTAACATTAATATATATATATATATATATATATATATATATATAATTATATGTCTTTTATATATATATATATATATATATATATATATATATTATGCTGCATCATGAGTATTATGTCATATGGTTCAATTTGAAGTACACCAGTTTATGACAAGTTAATCATTATTGCGTGAAGAAACATAAAGGGCGCTAAAGAGAACTCATGGGCCACTCTATTGAATTTTAAACTTGAATTAAACAAAAGAACAACAGCGGATAACATAAAAAGACATCATTTCCCGATTTTAATTCATATTAGGACCAATTTCAATTTGGAAAAATAGTGACATGCCTGTCCAAAAAAATATTCACATTAAAAAGTGGTATTGAGTCATAGTTAAAATATGAGGCATAAGCATTTGTAGGTAGTGCCCGAAACTTACCCCTGCCCATCCAAAATTATGAGGATTCCCATGAGCTAAATTAATTCGGTTGTAAGGAATTCCCGTTGGAGTATTCCATGCAGGAAGCAACCTGTCGCCAATATCTCTCGCCTTCTCAAGAAATATTGAATCCCCAGAGAGATCATAAGCACTAAGTAGCCCACCAACAACTCTAGAAATTCATGTAGAGACATGAGATAAATATAACTAATGAGTTTCTAGAAATCTATTACATGACTAACCCTCTACACACTGAATAATGCGTATATAAAACTACTAATACAAAATTTTATTATATAATCTCTCTCCCTGGGAAAAGAAAGCTAAGAACTTGAAATATTAAACCTTGTAGAGCAACCTTATGGTCGTCTCAAATACACTTGCTTCATAGTTCTTGTTAAAATCCAAGGAATTAGCAATCCATCTGAAAGATAGAAAATCTCATATCAGATCCATAATTGTAAAACTTATAAACAGCATATGCATCATTTTAAATCAAACTTGCAAAATAAAAGATTAATGATTCTGCAAATATGAACTATATAAATGCTTATCAAGCTTTGGTTGAAGAAAGGGACAACTATTGTACAAGAGTAGAAGATTTGTGAAAGAAAAACCCAGAGTACAGCAATTTTATTGCAAGCAACTAGAACTAATGAAAACTAAAGTAATATGGAAGCAAAGCAAATTTTTAGCACGATAAAATAATATTAACAAATTAGATGAAGAAACAACATTTTCTTTAGTTCATCACCGACAATATCTATAATCATGCTGCACATAAATGAAAAATAAAATAAAAGTTAGGTTTTCTACTCACTCTCTGGCCTTTTGGAATTGATCCTTTAGGCCCATTATGTACAAAGTATCGAGGGAGTCCACAATCGTTGCTCCAAGGCCCCCAAAGGAGTTCACACCATTCTTTGATTGTGGCTGGAAAATAAAGAAAAAATGACACCTTTAAAGTTGAATCATCATGAAAATATATAAAGAACAGGAGCTCAGATAGAACGGAAACTTTGATATACAGTTAAACACTTTTTTTCCTTGAACTGCTGTTGTTATAATCAACAAACCTGAAGTTCATCTTCACCCCACGCATACTTCTCATAGGAATTCCATGCATGAAGCATAGCCTCTTTAACTTTTTCAAGACGTTCATTGTCAATAGGGTCAGAAGTAACTAAATTTTCATTTATTAATTTACCATCACCAGAGTCAACAGATTGCCCTAATCTTTGCAGCTGCAAGAATGACAAGCTTCAGCAAAAAATAAGAGGATAAGCTGCAGGAGAAGGAAGAGAGCACAGGCAACAAAGAAACCTTGTCTTTCAAGATGTCAAGTTCTTCCTTAAGTTTATAAATTTCATCCTGCACAATTCACAAATTAGAAGAAAGTAAGGCATTAGCTCTTTTCTGAGTAAATATTATTGCAAATATCACAAAATTTATTTTCTTGTAACTGAAAAACAATCCCTTTTCACATGTAAAAAAGGAGAAAGCCATCAAACAGATTTCCGCTAAACTATCGCCTAAATATGAAAACAAAAGCTAGATCCATGCCTGGAGAACAATTTATCATTTTTTTTTTCACGCAGTTGTTGAAGAGAAGTAAAATTCTGTGAACGTAATTTTCCTCTCTAAGATCTCTAAGAAAAAAAAAAAACAGGAATAGTTATTATTAAAATTTAGCAAAAGACATTAACCTTAAGCAGGCTTCATCTCAGCGACCTACCAAGAAACAGGAAAAAATTGAATTTCAACAATTTTAACACCGTTCTCTTCAATGATCAAAACAATAAGTTTATCTAGTAAAAGAAACAGACTTTAAGAAGAAACACAGAAAGAAGAATCATAGCATATACATCGTGCTCTCGGAGAAGGTTCTGACGGTCCCATACGGCGAAGCTCACGATTACGAAAGCAACCACTGCAAGCCCCAGCCGTTCCGGTCGCTTCAGGTAGTACGACGGCCGCAGGAACCGCCAACACCCATAGGACGAAGATGAACGGTTCCGCGCCATCTAGTTCTTTCCCCACCCAAATCCCCAAAACCTAACCCTAAATGCTCCTCAGATCGAAGAGATCAAAAGAGATCAAAGACAACGAAGTCGAAACAAGAGACAGACGACGACGACAGAATCGTGCTGGAGACCGTTTCCTTCAACGCAGGGAGGAGGACAGGAGACGTTGCGTTTCCTTCAACGCAGGGAGGGGAAGCGGAGAGCGTTTCCTTCAACGCAGTGATCTGCAATCCCGACGTTGCTTCCTTGCAAGCTCCAATCGCGGAGAAAATATTACTTCAGAAGTCCGAAGTGCGTACGGAGCTAAGCGGGGCATTCACTCCATAAAAAATAAGAAGTTCCAGTCCGACCCGCAAGCTTTTTTTTTCTTTTTTGAAAATAATTTTTCTCATCTAGAGTCAATTTTCTCTTTTTTTTTAATCATGTCGGGATTTCGCAGTGTTATGGCTTGTATGGGGCGGCTGCAGCTTATCCAGCTTACATTGATAAACAGATTATCCTAATAATATGTTAATGAGCAGCTGATCCGGATAAGCTGACTAGCTGTTCGGTTTGTGAGTTTGGAAAATAGATGATTCTGGATAAATCACTTCTTCTCGGTCACTAGGGCGACGATCCAGGGCTAGCGACTAGGGCAATGAGGGAAAAAAGAGGTCGCGAACGTGATGCGCAAGTAAAGGCCCTTGTTTACTATTTAGCCTAAATAGTGAAACGTAGGTTTTAAAAAGGCGGAGGAGATGCAGGAACCAAACAGCACGGCGGCGTTTTCAAAAACGCCGCCACACTTTTAAGCTACCCCAAACTAGTCACCTATCATTTTGATAGTAATAAGGATTTGATTCTATTTTGTTCATATTTGAGTATAATTGCGGTATTATTGTGACATTATTGAAGTGTTATTTGACTTGAGTTCTTGTCATGTTATTTCAGTTTTATTGTGGTGGTTATATGCTGGTGTTCGACTGTTGCTTTTATGAGATTTATGTTGTTTGCATGTTGGATTTTATTTTGAGCTTTTTCAAGCTATTATAATGCTCTTTTTTGGTGTTTTTCTAGTGTTACTTGGGTCTTATTTCGTTGTCATTGAGGTGATATTGTGGTTATTATGTTGTGGTATTCGACTGGTATTCTTGTGGTGTTATTACATTTTTATTATGGTTATTGTGATATTATTGTGGTGTTATTGAGATGTTATTATGGTGTTATTTGAGTGGTATTGCGGCACCTATGTGATGGCATTTTTGACTGGTGTTATTATGGTGTTATTGTGGTATTATTGTGAGGTTATTGTTGTGTTATTTGAGTTGTATTGCAGCAACTCTATAGTGGTATTTGACTGGTGTTTTTTCAATATTATTATAGTGTTATTGTGATATTATTGTGAAGTTATTGATGTGTTATTGTGATATTATTTGGGGGTATTACGTCAATTGTGGTGGTTTTCTCGTCTGGTGTTATTTCAGTTTGATTATGGTATTATTGTGGTATTATTGATGTGTTATTGTGCAATTATTATAGTGTTATTATAATGTTATTGTGGCATTATTGTGGTGTTATTGAAATGTTATTGTGGTGTTATTTGAGTGGTATTATGGTGGCTTTATAGTGATATTATCTACTGGTGTTATTATCGTAATATTAGGGTATTATTCTAGGGTTATTGAGGTGTTATTATGGTGTTATTTGAGCGGTCTTGCGGCGGTTATGGTGGTATTCTCGATTGGTGTTATTGTGTTTTTATTGTGGTGTTATTTTGGTGTTATTGAGATGTAGTTATTCACTTATTGTGGTGTTATTATGGTATTATTGTGGTATTATTGAGGTGTTATTGTGGTGTTATTTGAGTGGTATTGCAGCGGCTCTATGGTGTTATTCTCGACAGGTGTTATTATGTTATTATTGTTGTTTTATTGTGGGGTTATTTATGTGTTATTATGGTGTTATTTGAGTGGTAATGTGGCAGCTATGGTTGTATTCTCGACTGATGTTATTTCAGATTTATTAAGCTGTTATTGTGGTATTATTGTGGTGTTATTGAGATGTTATTGTGTAGTTATTATTGTATTATTATGGTGTTATGTTGGTATTATTGTGGTGTTATTGAAGTGTTATTGTTGTGTTATTTGGGTATAATTGTGTCAGTTGTGGTGGTATTCTCGATTGGGATTATTGTGGTATTATTAAGTTGTTATTATAGTGTTATTTAGGTGATATTGTGGAGATTGTGGTGGTATTCTCGATTGGTGTTATTTCAGTTTTATTATGTTATGATTGAAGTATTATTGTGGTTTTATTATGCATTTATTGTGTTGTTATTATGTTGTTATTGTGGTATTATTGTGGTGTTATTGATGTGTTATTAGAGTTTAATTTGAATGATATTGTGGAGTCTCTGTGGTGGTATTCTCGACTGGTGTCGTTATGGTGTTATTGTAGTATTATTATGGGGTTAATGAGGTATTACTAAGGTGTTATTTGAGTGGTATTATGAAGGCAGTGGTGATATTCTCAATTAGTGTTATTGTGGTTTGATTATAGTGTTATTGTTGTAGTATTGTGCTATTATTGAGCCATTATTGTGTAGTTATTGTGGTGTCGTTATGATGTTATTGTCATATTTTTGCGGTGTTATTGCGATATTATTGTGGTGTTATTTCAGTGATATTGTGACGGTTGTGGTGGTATTCTCGATTGGTATTATTTTAGTTTGATTATGATGTTACTATGGTATAAATATAGTATTATTATAGTATTATTGTGGTGTTATTGTATTGTTATTGTGGTATTATTATGGTGTTATTACGGTATTATTGCAGTGTTATTTAAGTGGTGTTGTGACAACTCTGTGGTGATATTCTCGACTGGTGTTAATATGATGTTATTCTGGTATTATTATGGGTTATTAATGTATTATTGAGGTGCTAATATGGTGTTATTTGAGTCATTTTATGACGGTTGTGATGGTATTGTCAATTGGTGTTATTTTCATTTTATTATGGTGTTATTTGGTATTATTGTGATATTATTGAGGTGTTATACTCCACTTATTGTCATGTTATTATGGTGTTATTGTGGTATTATTGTGGTGTTATTAAGATATTATTATGACGTTGTTTGAGTAGCATTGCGATGGCTCTATGGTGTAATTCTTAGTTGGTGTTATTATTTTATTATTGTGGTATTATTGTGAAGTTATTGAGGTGTTATTTGAGTGATATTGTGGCGGATGTCGTGGTATTCTCGACTGATGTTATTTCTGTTTTTTTAATGTTATTGTGGTATTATTGAGGTGTTATTGTGCAGTTATTGTAGTATTTGCAGTTATTGTAGTGTTATTATGATGTTATTGTGATATTATTGTGGAGTTATTGAGGTGTTATTATGGTATTATTTGAGTGGTATTGTTGCGACTATGGTGGTATTATTGATTGGTGTTATTGTGATATTATTGGGGTATTATTATGGTGTTATTTAAGTGATATTGTAGCGGTTGTGGTGATATTCTCGATTAGTGTTATTTTAATTTTATTATTGTGTTATTGTGGTACTATTGTTGTATTATTGAGGTGTTATTGTGCAGTTATTTAGTTGTTATAGTGTTATTATAATATTATTGCAGTGTTATTGAGGCATTATTGTGATGTTATTTGAGTGGTATTACAGTGAATCTATGATGGTATGATGGTATTCTTGGTTAGTATTATTGTGTGATTGTGGGGTTATTAAGGTGTTACTAAGGTATTATTATGGTGATATTTGAGTGGTATTGCATCGAATATAGTGGTATTATCCATTGGTGTTATTGCAGTTTTATTATAGTGTCATTGTAGATTCTTTAGGAAAGAGGTGTCATGACTTATGATGTTAGCATGAAGCACAATTTTTTTATGAAAACAATATTAATGAGGATAATAAATGATCTTTCAGCGTATGGAATGTTATCTGGACGAAACAACGCGTGAAAGTTAGCATGTTCATTTTGCATGAATTCATATAAGACATTCACGCTTCAGCATGACAATTATTTCATGGTTTGGTTTCCACATTATGTTTTTAGATGTTGAACATTTCTTTAGGAGAAACAGAAGTGCATTCAAAAGAAACAAAATTTATTTCAGATTGTTAGTGACATTCTAAAGAATATTATTTGTCCCGAGCTATCTTCATAATATCCATCAGGCTTTGTTGTTATTCATAACTGGTTAAGGAAATCTTTTTTTTTTTTTTTGGATTTGTCTTACCAGAGATTAGACATATTCTCGATGTGATGCACATAGAGAATTTTTTTTTCACAATATCTTCAATACTGTGATTGATGTTAAAGGAAAAATTAAAAATAACAAGAATGTCAGACTAGATTTGAAGGACATTTGTAGAATGTGGGAAATGGAAATTCAGAAAACTGTTACTAGCAAGCTTTTAAAGCCCAAAGCAAAATATTTTCTTACTTTAGCACAGCATAGATCAAGTTGTGAGTGGGTTCATGTATTAAAATTTCTAAGCAGATATGCTCAAATTTGAGTCGTTGTATTGATGTGGAGATGAGATAAATATTTGGAATGAAAAACCATGATTGTCATATTTTTCTTCAAAATTTGACGCCAGCCGCATTTAGTTACTTGTAGAGCAATATTTTAAAATCAGTGTGCCCTTCAAGGAGATATGTGCAGCTCGTTTGAAAGTTATTGGCATACGACAGTTAAAAGCAAACATTCCAATAATATTATGCAAGCTCGAAAGAATATTCTCACCCAATTTTTTCGACTCCTTAGAGCACCTGTCGGTACATCTACCTCACAAAGCCTTACTTGGAGGAGTTGTACAATATTCCTGGATGTATCCATTTGAGAGGTACATAGTAACGATTTTTTATTAAATTGTAGTTGCAACTTCGTAAATAATATTATAAAATTATGCTAATTAATAATTATTCATAGGTTTTTTAATAAATTGAAGTGAAATGTCAACAATAAAGCACAACTGAAAGGATTCATATGTGAGAGATAATTACTGCAGGAGACCGCCACTTTTTGCTCCTAGTATTATTGCAAGAAGAATCCACGTCATTGGGAGTGGAGCCTCCCTTGACACTTTCTGTTTTATAGTAGTTTGGCGAAGCATCAAGGACATTCACATCACATTATCTCAGTGATCAGTAACTTCGAGCAGCGACACTTTATATTCTTCTAAATTGCGATGAAGTTCAACCCCTTATTGAGTAAGATATTAAGTGCTATTAATAGTTTATTCTTCTAGGTGAAAATATTATAATGAGCTAATCCGTAATTTTTTCATTGTGGTGATAGTTTATTCT